CATGCCAGTGCCTTGCCCCAACACCACCAGCTCTTATCTTATTTAACAGTCTCCTGTGTGGCACCTTGTCAAAAGCTTTCTGGAAACTCAAATAGATCACATCCACTGGCTCTCTTTTGTCTCGCTTGTTACCTCCTCAAAGAATTCGAAAAGATGTGTCAGGCATATCCTCCCCTTGACAAAGCTGTGCTGACTCAACCCTATTTTACCATGCACTTCCAAGTACTCTGCAATCTCATCCTTAATAATAGACACTAAAATCTTACTAACTTTTCTGATGAAGGGTCTAGGCCCCAAACGTCAGCCTTTCTGCTCCTATGATGCTGCTTGGCCTGCTGTGTTCATCCAGCTCTGCACCTTGTTGTAATGATGTTGAGGTTGTACAGGACATCAGTGAGGCCTCTCCTAGAATACCATGTTCAGTTCTAGTCAGCCAGTTACAGGAAGATTATTATTAAACTGGAGAGGGTTCAAAAGAGATTTACCCAGGATGTTGCTGGGTACGTAAGGTTTGAGTTATAAAGAAACGCTGGATAGGCTGGGACTTTTTCCACTGGACCATAGGAGGTTCAGAGGCGACCTGATAGAAGTTTATTAAATAATGAGAGATATAGATAGAATTAATGGTTGTTGTCTTTTCCCTAGGATGGGGAATTTCAAAACTAGGGGGCACATTTTTGAGGACAGAGATTTAAAAAAGACACGAGGGGCAAAGTTTTACACAGAGGGTGGTTCACGTGTAGAATGAGCTTCCTGAGGAAGTAGTGGATGTGGGTACAATTACAATGTTTAAGAGACATTTGGATAGGTACAGGAAAAGGAAAGGTTTGGAGGGATATAGACCAGGAGCAGGCAAGTGGGGCTAGTTTATCTGGGATTATGTTCGGCACGGACTGGTTGGACCAAACGGTCTCTTTCCGCGCTGTATAACTTTATGACACCATGACTGAAGTCGGGCTAACCAGTCTATAATTTCCTGTGTTGTCTCGCTCCCTTCTGAAACAGGGGTGTTACATTAGCCATTTTTCAGTCACCTTGGACCCTTCCTGTCTCTGGTGATTCCTGAAAGATCACCACCAATACCTCTACAATCTCCTCAGCTATCTTGTTCAGAACTCTGGGTTGTAGTCCATCTGTGCTGGGTGATTTATCCATCTTCAGACCTTTCAGCTTGCGCAGCACTTGATTCTTCATGAAGGCCACCACACTCACCTCTGCTCCATGACTCTCTTGAAGCTCTGGTACGCTACTGGTGCCTTCCACTGTGAAAACTGACGCAAAATATCTCTTCATTTCCTCCACCAATTCCTTGCTCTCCATTACTACTTCTCCAGCCTCTTTTGCCAGCAGTCCAGGGTCCACTCTTGTCTCTCCCTTACCTTTCAGATATCAAAATAAACTCTCACAATCTTCTTTGAGATTACTAGCTAGCTTATTCACATATTTCATTTTCTCCACCCTTATTGCCCTTTTAAGTTATCCTCTGATTGTTTTAAAAGGTTTCCCAATCCTCTGGCTTCCCACTAAGCTTCACCACATTGTATTCATTTTCTTTTGCTTTTATACTGTCCCCAACTTCCCTGGTGAGCCATGACTGCCTTGCCTTCCCCTTTAGTTTGCTGCTTCTTTGTTGGGATGAATTTCTGTTGCTGTCGCTCCTGAATTAAACCCAGATGTTGCTCCACCATTTTCCCTGCTAGGCTCCCCTTCCAATCAGCTCTAGCCGGTTCCTCTCTTATGCCTTTATAGTTACCTTTACTCAATTGTAATACCATTAAGGCTGGTTCCAGTTTCTCCCCCTCAAACTGCAGGGTGAATTCTATCATATTATGGTCACGGACCTGACGGATCCCTTCCCTAATTAAGCGAAGGATAGGTAAATGGATAGGAAAGGATTGGAGGGATATGGACCAGGAGCAGGCAAATGGGACTAGTTTAGTCTGGGATTATGTTCCACATCATTAAATGATTACACATCACCAGATCCAGAACTGCCTTTTCCCTTGTGGGCTGTACCACAAGCTGCTCCAAAAGGGAAAAAAAAAATCTTTCAAAAATTCCTTTTCTTAAGATGTGCTACCGACCTGATTTTGCCAGTCCACCTGCACTTGAAGTCCCCCATGATTATTGTAATGGTGCCTTTCTTTCATGGATGGACTGGAGGAGCTGGGTCCTTCCTCATTACAAAAAGAGCAGGTTGAGGGAAGATTTGATCAAGTAGTTCAAAATCTCGAGGAGGTCTAGACAGAGTAGATAAGAAGCATGTGGCCCCGTCAAATAAAAAAGGATGGAAAATTACAGGACACCATTCAGAATGATTGGCAAAAGAAAAAAAATGCTGACATGAGGAAAAGCGAGCTTTTAGTGCGGCAATTAGTTAAGATTTGCAATACACAGCACAAACGGTGTGGTGCAGGTACATTCAATCATGGCTCTCAAAAGGGAATTGGATGAGAAACTTGGAAAAAATAAGAAAAATAAGGGGAAAGGGCAGGGAATTGTAACTAGTTGAGCTTCTGCTGCAGCAGGGAGATTGCATTGACACAATCAGTTGAATATCTCTCTTACTGCTGTGATCATTCCAAGGATCTATGAAGGCCATTTTAGGCATTGGCAATCATTACTGAGGCATCACTGGAGAGGTACCTGTAGCTTGGGAAGTATACTGATGTGTTTCAATAGTCAAATCAGGTGACAAGATTGACATAGGCAAGTACAGACTCATTAATCTTACTTCAATTATATTTAAAATGCAGGAGAGAGAGAAATTCAACCCATAAGTCCAGGCTACATTTAAAAGAAGGCTTGAAAGATGAAAGGATAAACTACACTAAGCCACAGTACTTTTCTACTTTTCACCTACATCCTAAAAGTGGTATAAAATGCATCAGCAGAAAAAAATATTTTTGATTAACAGAACTCGAAAACGTCTCAATTTTCATGACTGACCTCTCAACACCCAATCTTCCCTTTCATTTATTAGGGTCCTTTGGTCTGCATCATAAATTCTATCCTCCATTTAACTGAATGGGTTAGTCAGGCTTCCAAGGCGACGTTCCCTTTCTCAAAGGTGCAAGGAAATTAAATGCAGAAATAATTTGCAAGATCCCTAAACAAGAGAATGCTGAATTAAGCACTGTTGGATGGGTTGTTGTTGGGTCTCAATCTAGCTGTGCCCCTGATCTGGAAGGACAGAGGAGTGCAAAATCAGCCCAGCTCAAATGGCTTGTTGCACTAGGTACAAAACCAGCATTTACAACAATAAATATTGTCATCCTTCATGTTTCTAACTCCTTTTATCCTCATACTTTTGAATAGAGCTGCATTAAAGCTCACCTCTCAGTTTCATATAGCTCTACGGCAAACACAGCATATGCCTATAAGAACTTTTGACATGTCAGTGATTTTCTTTAAAAAGTCATTTTCAGATACAAGATTGCAGAAAATGGATACCACAGCTTTCAAACCCAATAAGCATGTGGCCAGGAAAAGTGACTGCTCTGCAATAATTCTAAAGGAGGGAGGCAAACAACAAAGAGATGGGAAGAGACAGACAGCCTTTTTATCCCCAAAATGCTCTCTGTAATAGATAATAAGAAAAGTCAAACAAAAGTAGGAAATCCATTCCTTCCTTCCTTCCTTCCTCGCGCAGGATTTAGTGCAAAATAAGGTCACCCGCATCAAATCTGGAAACAGAACTCAGAGTTTGTATAAGGAGACACAGGAGGCAGATAGCGTGCCAGGTACGTTGAAGTTGTACAAGAATAAAAGACAGAGATTCAGCAAACAATAAAGACAGTCAACAGGAGGAACCCTGCTGGGCTGCTTCAGAATCTAAAGGCATTAAAAGATAACAAAGGATCAAGAGAGAGAAACATTAAAATAAAGGACAGTGAGGGTGAAAAAAAAATAATGGGAGGCAAAAAGATACTGTCTTGAAAAAGCATCTAAAATGTATCTTCATGTGCACATAGTATTTTTTTGCTGTTCATCTAGATGGATTTAATAAGCCAACTCTCAACAATATACTATCTTTTCTAATAATGAACTTATTTGAAAATGCATTCAAGACAAAAGTGAAATAAGCAGAAGGTAATAGAATGTCTGGTAATAAGTTGCAAGGCAGTAATTTGATCATCAGCTTAGGTGACGTCATAAATTACAAGAGCAAAGCTCAAGTCATTTAAAAATTTCAGCAGGGCCCGGAGATTAAATTACCTCTTGAAACTCCATCATCAAACACTAGGAATTTTTCACATTATATAGCCATTTTATCCATTATGGACATGCCGAGTACAGTGCAGACTATCAGGTCTAATTGAAACATTCATAGAGATGGCAGGAACAAACGTGACAAGGGTATAGGGCATTCTTTATGTGCTACAGTCAGATTCTAAGTGGCAACAACGTGAGTTTTCTAAAAGGTTGAGAAACATACAAACGCACATTTACACATCACAGTGTTAACATTACAGGTTAAGTGACGAAACCACTCAGTTCCTCCAGCCTGCAGCGCCACTCCATTACATCATGGCTGATCTGCATCATAACTCCGCTCACTTCAGCAACCCTTAATACGCTGATCTAATAAAAATCTATTAATCTCTTTTTTTAAAATCTTGAACATAACTTGGCTCAACAGCTTTTCAGTGGAGGAGATTCCAGCATTCCACTGTCTTCTATCACAGAATCGTTATAGGAGGCCACTTGGTCCATTACGCTTGCACCTAGTGCCAATCTCTTGCCTACCCCATATCCCTGCACGCCATTTCTATCCAAATAACCACCCAATGTCCTTGAACGCCTCAAATGAATCTGTCTCCATACTTCCAGACAGTGCATTCTACTCAGTGTGAAAAAACTTCTTCTCATATCACTATTGCTTCACTTGCACGTCACTTTAAATCAAGTTAAGTGAAGATCCGCTTCACATATCCTGCTCAAGTCACGTGATAATAGCACACTCCTGCTTTTGAGAACAAAGACTGATTGTACATTACCAATTCACGAGGCACAAAGACGTCGTCTTGGCGAGCAACCACAAGAGCGACTGTTTCTCCATGTTTCGTGCTGCGCAGCATTGCAACCAGCTCCTCCTGCGTTTTCCCAGTTATATCAATGCCATTCACCTGTCAGAACAGTAATAATCAGCAATAAGCACAACACTTGAAGACAAAATGTAGTCCAGAAAATCACAAGAAAAATACATTCAAAGAGAAACTGAAAAACAACAATTCGGATGTAGTTGGTTATGATTTGGCTCAAGAAGGGACAGAAAATAAATTAAAAACTTGAAATTAAAGTAACAATGGAAATAAAAGCAGACATTGCTGGAAAATCTCAGCAGGTCTGGCAGCATCTGTGGAGAGAAATCAGAATTAACGTTTTGGGACCACTGATCCTTGATCAGAACTTAGAACTTCTGTTGTGAAGAAAGGTCACTGGATCCAAAACGTTAACTCTGATTTCTCTCCACAGATGCTGCCAGGTCTGCTGAGATCTTGCAGTTATTTCTGTTTTTGTTTCAGATTTCCAGCATATGCAGTTATTTTGGTTTTTTAACAATGGAAATACTTGCGTCGAAAAGTGTCCTTTGTGATCTTGCAGCATCTCAAAGCATTTTACACACAATGAAGTACTTTTGAGGTGCAGTTATTACTGTAAGGTAGGAAACACTGTAACCAAGGTTATCCATTAAAGTCCCAAAAGTATCATTCAATAATGGCCAGATAATTTCTTTTGTGATGCTCTTTCAGTGATAAGCAACAACCCAGTGTAAACTTCCTTACTCTTCTTAAGTGTCTAAAGATCTTTTACGTTCAGCCGAGAGGGCAGAGATGACTTATGCTGTAATCTAAAATACAAGATTTTAGACAGTGCAGCACTCCCTCAGTCCTGATTTTAGCCGCTTATCTCTGTTGGGGGATTTGAAATCACAACTTCCTGACTATGAATTGCAAGTGCTATCCACTGAGCCATCGCCAAGCATTCAAAATATGAGAAGCACCACTGGAAAACAGACTAAGCAAAATTCTGATATGGTTTGTTGTCTGTCTATGAAGTCAATTTTATGGATGTCATTCCTCATCAGTGAGTGAACCAAAAAAAAATAACAGAACGAGACCTTACAGCTCCTCCAACCTCAAGATCATGATCTTCAATTTCAACTCTACCTTCCCACATTGATTGATGATGATGCATCACCCAGAAAAAATGGTCCACTAAAATGTTACATTTCACAGTCAATGGACGTGCATTCCATGTGAAAGGAAATACTGAAACATAAAACTAACGTACACGAGTAACTCTCCAACCAAGTAGGGAATCAAAGGCATGGCCTTATCTTTCTCTTGTTTCCCTCTTAAATCTAAACACCAAAAGCAGCTAGTAGATCTCCTACATCCATATTGAGCAGCTAGTGGGAAAAGTTCTGCCGAATACTCCCTTCTAGACAACTTCTTTCCTTGATATGGGTTGTTTCTTTATAGAAAGGTTATGAGCAAAGGTTTAAAAAGCTGGGCCACTTCTGCCTTGAAAGGAAGTGAATGACTGGAGCAGTATGTAGAGTTGTACATAAGATCAGGATAAATGTAAGCATTATTTCAAGTTACATTACAACTGCAGATCACAGACAGAGTCACAAAAGTGAAAGGTAAATGTCACAAACGATGGATTTCCACACAGACACACGCACATACACAAAATATTATTACCTGGATGGCTGAAAACTCTGGAGTCATTCAAGCAATTACATATTAAGGAACATCCTGGGAGAATCAATTTCTATATTGGAATGATAAGCTAAATGTTTCAATGGCTGCCCTCATCTCAATTTAGAATTGGCCACTTGCAGATTATCTCTGACATTCTTGAGAATGTTCTTAACTTTCGTTGTTGGTGTTTTTCTTTCCTCTGATCAAACCATTTATTAAGCTGAGAAGATGTACAGTCAACTTGTTCAAGTGCATCTATTATGAAATTACTCTATTACTCACCTTTCATCTGACTCAGACCTAGCAATACAAGTCCTGAAGATAAATCTCCTTAATCTATGATTCTTACTGTGCTATTAATAAAGTAGTATTAAGGAGTGCAAGTCAACTCAAAATGATGGATCTTACAGGTACACTGTGATGTAGGAGAAACAACTTGACAATCTGACAGAGTTATTTCTCAAATCAAAGTGTGTGTATAAAGATTCACTATTTTTGACTTTTGATATACTGCTTCAAAACACTGAAATTAACCAAGTACAATAGTCTAGTGACATTGCTGAACTAATAATCGGAGAACTCCAGTTCAGATCCCAGGATGGAAACTTGAGAGCTCAAATTCAGTCTTTTAAAAAAAATCTAGCAATGGAAGTACCCTCTGAAAGTGACTATGAAGCTTTAGGATTTATATAAAAAACGCAGGCACTTCATTACTGTTCTTTGGGCAAGAGACAGGTCTCAATATGACTAAGCCCCACTCCAACTGTAATGACTCTGAACTATCCATGATTTCCTGATATGGCCTTTTAAGCTTAATTGTATCAAACCAGGAGTAAGAACAAGAATAAAGCAGGTAGATATGTTACCACTTTCGCATGGCCACAAGGAAAGAGCAATAATGATCCGCCTCATCAGCAGTGCCTACGAAACAAACTTGCACTTGTTTTGTAAATTGCCAACCCTTGCTTCATAGCACACTCTCAATTCTAATCAACCGAACTGCAATTTTAACAAAAGGATCCCTTAAGAAGTGCAGCAAGACATCTGCCTGTTATCCTTTTGCAAAAAAAAATTACAAGGAGGATACTTTGATCTGAGAGTGATGAGTTGAAAACAAAATCTGATAGCTTTCATTTCCTGAGCAATGTATATCCCTCTAGGGTCTCGCTTCAACCTCCATTTCAGCCTGAATTAAACTATAGGTCACTCTTTTCTAGTAGACTGTCACACATGGAGCCTTTTACTTCCATTGCTGACATAGTGATGATAGTCGTGCGCACAATCAGCGATGTTTTTGGCGACAAGGAAAGATGCATAATTTTGGTAATACAATGACAAGAACACAGACTACCAGTTTGACCCGTATTTTACCCTTTCAGCAAATGGATTTTTTGCATTTCTCAGGAATTTCCAGATGTCCGAGTCTCAAGGCTGCCTGCATACGAAAATTTCCCAACAGATTCTTAATTGAAAGCTTTACAAAAAAAAAACGTGAAGTGAAATGAACACCAAAGTGCATGAATAGTATGAAAGGACTGTAGAAAACTGCACAGCATTACGCAGGCAGACAATGTGTCAAGACCAGCTGCGTATATAATCACCACGGTTATTCAACTCAGCACAGACTTTTGCTTCGATTGTCAAGCCATCAAGCTTCTGCCAGTGCCCTTTTGCTCACTATCAGGAGGCATGAGATACCACCCAGATATAAAGTACGCGTTAACCCAGCCACGGGGCCAGGCCACAATCTCCACTTGTCATCTACCTGTTTGGTGCAGATTAAGATCAGAAGCTCAGTATGGGCTGTGGTTGTTGAATTAACTCCACCATCACCTAGTCAACCTTTATTTACACCTGGAGAGTCCTCGACACTGATTCGGCTCCTCAGAGTGCACAGGATACCTGGCACTCCTGTTCTTGTCTGTCAGCCAGAGCTCCCTGACTGGATCAGATTAACAGCCCCAATCAGGGAACTCATATTCAATGAGGTCCAGCTGCCTGACCTCATTACAATCACTGCAGTGGTGATGATGGAAATAAGAAAAAAGTGAGAAGACCACACAGCTGATTCACCCCTGCCGAAACAGCAAGTCAAAAGAGAAAAGCAAAATATGGCTGATGGTTGAAATCTGTTGTAAAAAAACGTAACTGTGGGAAACATTCAGCAGGTCTGGCAGCATCTGTGGAAAAGCAGATCGGGTTAATGCTTCAAGTAAATGACCAGCAAGCAGAGCGATTGTAGCCACCAAAATGTAGTATCTACTTGCCCCCTCATCAACCCAGATCTCGGTCCCGAAGGAGGGTCACTAGATCTGAAACACTGACTTTGCTTTCTCTCCACAGATGCTGCTAGACCTGCTGAGTTTCTCCAGCAATTTCTGTTTTTGCTTCAGATTCTGCAGCTCTTTGTTTTTTTTTGTTGAGCGATAAATGCTGAATGGGTGCTAACGAGAAGTGTGAATAGGTGAAAATGACTGTGCTGGGAGTAACATATACAGAAGAGCACCTGCGAGTGTTTTGGTGGATAATAAACATGGGGCAAAGTGTTCATGGAGGAGGATACATTTTGAGGATCAGGAACAGAAAACTTTGGGACAGGGGTAGGAACACAGAATGGCTGAGTTAGAGTGACCCTTAATGAATGACAGGCAAGAATGTGGTGTTGAGGCCAAGATGAGATCAATTATGATTTTATTGAATGATGCAGGAGGCTTGAGGGGCTGAACTGCCTACACTCCTGCTCCTTGTTCTTATGCTCTTTTGACCACAAGAAGTTGTTCAAGTTAAGCCAAGGGCTGGCAGGCTGGAGGCAAACTCTTTGCAATGGGAGAACAGAGGAGTGGAAGCAAAGTTGGAAAAGGACCGGGAAAAGATTTATAAGGCGCGTAACCCTTTGATTGTCAATTCCTGACCTTAGTTTAAGCACTGGAACAGATTTATCTAAAGCAGTTTGAAGTGAGATTGGGTACAGCACAAGTTAGTTCTAGGATTGGCCAGCAGCTACACCTATCAAGTATTTTCATGGATCTGCCAAAAGTGAATGCTGTTTTCCGATTTCATGGATTTATTGATCAGTAACAAATTCATCCTAATACGTTACAAAAAAATAGTGGTGAACAACCTGCATAGCCGACAGTAAACATCTGTTTTCTTAAAAGCATTACTAAATTGTCTAAATGTAAAGGCAGCATATCCGTGTTAATGTTATTTTGGTGGCTAGAGAGGTCCAAAATTACCTTTGTAGGTGGTTCTTCAATCAAAGCTTTTGAGAACCACTGGTCTAACAAAAAGGGAGGAAAAATATAGGCCATATAGATCATCACTGAAACATGTGAATAAAAAAATATGTGGCACAATTTGGACCTAACTGAGATCTGGTGATCTTGACAATACTTTTGCAAGCTATGATCACAAAA